AATTGTGGGAATATATTTATTCCCTTAATGCGACACATTTAAAATTTTTACATGTGCCTCAAGCTGCACAAAGTGTTTGGCAAGAAGTGGTAATTAAGATACACTTTCCAGTGAGGAAACCTTCCCAGCCTGGTGGGGAGACTGGAAATGTAAACAAATCACCATGTGTACCCAGTGATGTACGCGCACTGCAAGTCAGCCGAATCGTCTCCCATAAAGATTTCAATTTAAACAATGAACTGAATGCATAGTGTGTGTGTGTGTGTGTGTGTACACAGGATCCATTACCTTTAGGGTTCCTTTTCACAAAAGAAAATATGCATACATATTTGGAAGAGGAATAAGCAGGTTTTTGCTGTTGTTTTGTTATGAAATTTTAGATGTATATTATATATAAATGTATATTGTATATTATATAGAGATGCATATTATATGTGTGTATAATATATATGTATATTACAGACACGTGTGTGTGTCTTGAAGAATGATTTATAATTACAGAGGGGCTCTGGCTTTGTACATAGATTGGTTAGAAACTATAGTCTTGAATGAGAAACAGAATAGACATAGCTTTTCTATGACAAAATTTGATTTGACAAATTGAGTGTTAATTGAAAGCACCATCCTATCTAAATCACATCTGAGTCATATATAAATCTTTGTCATGCAAATATAACTGGGGGTACATCACTTTGTATCCTGGGGGCTGAGGGTAATTGCTTGTCTACTGCTTTCTTTTTAAGAACAGGAAAAGGTTTAGCAGAACAAAGACATTGCTCACAGCCTCCCAGCAGGAATCAGTAAACCCTAAGCGTGTTTAAGCGGGTTTGGGAGTATTACAATAAAATTTTATTAAGAAAGATACCTAAGGATTTGTGGAATTCTGGTCACAATAATACTTGAATGCATGAGGAACAACGTACATGCACTCTGTTCCTTTATTTAAAACTTAAAATATATATAATTATTCCTAAAATATTCCCTTGCTTGCTTCCTTCCTTCCTTCCTTCCTTCCTTCCTTCCTTCCCTCTCTCATGCCTTCCTTCCTTCCTTCCTTCTTATTTTTCCTTTTCTCTTTTCATCTCCACTTCCATTTCTTCTTCTTTTTTTTTTATTTCGCAAAAATCTTCATTCACTCTGGCTGCTGTTGCAACCAAAATGTTCATATTCAAATGGAACGAAGGACTTATCCCACAATATAAAGTTAGTATAGATGGAACTTGAAAATTATGTTCTTAATCAACACTGCCATTTTAAGATTGCTAAGTTCTCAAAGGGTAAAAGAAGGGCAGTGTTAGTAACACAAGCATGCTTGACCTTGATTATGTCCAGACTGGCTCCTCTTATCTCTTTGACATCCCACATTTTAGACCTTGTGGTATGAAATTGGAAAATAATAATGAACACTTTTTCTCATATGAAATCTGAAATTACATGCCATGTATTAGTACGGACAAATGGACTAAACAACTGAAACAACATAGGTTGCGATAGCTTCATTTACAGATTTAACTTTTGGAGGCACCAATTTCCATTATTAGTAAAATAAGTATGCATGCCCGGGACGGATATGCCTCATGATACCTTGTAACTTCTAACTGCAAAGTGCAATCACCTGGAACAGCGCTTCTCTAACATTGCTGTGCATGTGAATCATGGGGGGATTTTTAGAGAATTCTGATTCTGCTTTATAGGCTTGGGATAAGCTGCAATATTCTGTAGTTTCAGGTGATGCTTATGCTGTTGGTCTGTGCATCACATATACAATAATAAGGTCATAGAAAAACGCAGTGTCCGATTTCCATTTCCAAAAATGACTGCAGTAGCCCAATGCCACATCTTCCTTGGCCATCTACATTTGTTACTACTTCTTACTACTTCCTCAGAAGGTAGAGGGGAATCTGTTGCTATATATCTTTAAATTAAAGGGAGCCCTAGGGTTATTCAAAGACAAAGACTTGAGTGAAGCTTTTAGTTTTGGGGATAGCCCTCAACTGGCCAGTGATTTCAACTCTCAGGCTTTAAAATCCATGTACCATAACAAAGACCATTATGAGAGGACCAAGCCACGTGAGGGGCTGGGGGGATGAGACCTGACATGTGACAGGCAGGGGAGTGACAGGGAGAGGAGACAAACGGAGGCACTAGTTACGTGTGTGAAAAAGCCAGTATCATACTGAATGGAGAAAAGCTAGAAACTGCGATCTTCTATCACCACTGCTATTCAACATAGTCCTAGAGGTACTTCAGAAATCAAAGGCATACGTATGTCAAGCTTTCACTATATGCAGATGACATAATCCTGTACATACTCAATACAGAAACTGCTAGAACTTATACGAGAGTTTGGCAGAGTGGCAGGGGAACGAAAATCAACAGCATAGTGTTATCAAATTGGAACCTCATCAAACTAAAAAGCTTCTGTACTGCAAAGGAAACAATCAGAGTGGGAGAAGATCTTGCACACGATATAGGCGATGCTAATTTCCAGGATATACAAACAAAAGATTAGATACCACATGTTTGCCTTGATTTAACCTGAACCTGTCATTGATACTGTCTCAACCCAGATGTTTCGAAGAATGGAACTTGCATTATTTTTAACATATTGTCTACCCATTACTATGTCAATTAATTCCATAATGTTGTATATTGATACTGAGGCCTTGTTGGGGCTTTTAACTGGGATCTTTACTCTGTTAGACCTATCTTCAGACCATAGAAGGCCAAGAGGCCACTGAACTTATCTGGACAATAAGACGCTGAACTTTATGCTAGGCATGTGTTTGCAAGCAATGAAACTGAACTTGAACTATGGTTATGCAACAAGGTGGAGGAATCCACCTCTATAAAACTGTACTACATAATACAATGTAAGGAACAGCCATGGTTCCACTAGCCAGGGGATGCCACATGGATCAGAGAAATTATTAGTCAAGTCTTTCATGCACTATTGATGCACACAAGCAGAGCCAAGTGACATAATTGTTCAGGATCCTAGCTGAGGGCCCTGGGGCAGTGGTCCAGTGAGTAAAGTCCTCCCCTTGTAGGTTCCAGAAACCGTATGGGCACCACTTCATGTTCAGGCTGCTCCACTTCCCATCCAGCTCCCTGCATATAGTCTAGGAAAGAAGTAGAGCCTTGGGGCCCTGTACCCATGTGGGAGACCTGGAGGAAGTTCCTGGAAGACACTACTGGTTCCTAGCTCCTGGCTTCGGATTGACTTAGCTCTGACCATTGCAGCTACTTGCACAGTGAACCAGTGGGCAGAAGATCTTCCTCTCTCTCTTCCTTTCTGTATATCTGACTTTCCAATAAAAATAAATAAATCTTTAACAAAAATTTTAAGTTGAGAAGTACAATCCTACTTAGCAATAGGTAATTACAGCAGAATTTACAAACAAGCAGATTTTACAAAGACCAAGAACAAAGGCTAGCATTTTAATAATGCTTACATTCAATACATTTTTTTGGATTTATTTATTTTTATTGGAAAGGCAGATATACAGAGAGGAGGAGAGACAGAGAGGAAGATCTTCCATCTGATGATTCACTCCTCAAGTGGCCGCAATGGCTGGAGCTGAGCCAATCCAAAGCCAGGAGCCAGGAGTTCTTCTGAGTCTCCCACTCAGGTGCAGGGTCTCAAAGCTTTAAGCTGTCCTCGACTGCTTTCCCAGGCCACAGGCAGAGAGCTGGATGGGAAGCAAGGCTGCAGGGATTAGAACTGGTGCCCATACAGCATCCCAGCACGTTCAATGCGAGGACTTTAACCTTTATGCTATCACGCCAGGCCCTCAATACATGTTTTAAATAAACTACAGAAAACCCTGAAAGTGACCTTTCTCCTCCAGTTATGGAAAAAGTAGAAGCTGCATTATATTATAATCAAATTATAACTTATTTATGTAAAATTTTTATGCAAATTCCAATAACAGTAATTTATACTGCAGAAAAGAAAAATACATGTCATAGTTTGCTTCCTCTTGAAATTGGAGAAATCAGGCCTGGTGCAACAGCTTAGAGGCTAAATGCTTTCCTTGCATGTGCCACCATTCCATGTGGACACTGGGCTGTTTTACTTCCCACCCAGCTCCTTGCCTGTGGCCTGGGAAAGCAGTAGAGGACGGCCCAAAGCCTTGGGACCCTGCATGCATGTGGGAGACCTGGAGGAAACTCCTGGCTCCTGGCTTTGGATCAGCTCAGCTCTGGCCAATGATGTCACTTGGGGAGTGAACCAGTGCAAGAAAGATCTTTGTCTCTCCTTTTCTCTGTAAATCTACATTTCCAATAAAATTAAATGAATCTCAAAAAAAGAAATGGGAGAAATAGTCATCTTAGTTATTGTTGAATTATGAGGTTCTACTATGTACCAGATATACTGTAGAAGGATCTACATAAAATTATGTTGAATATAGAAATGAAAGAAAGAAGAACCAGAGTGTTGTGGTATCATGGTTAAATCCAACAGTGGCAATGCCAGCAACACATGGGGGTTGTCAGTTTATGTCCTGGCTACATTACTTCTGAACCAATGTCTTGTAAATAGTTTGGGAAAAAATTAATAGATGACCAAAGTTCTTGGTCCCCTGACACCCATGTGGGAGACACAGACAAGGCTCCTGGCCCCTGACTTCTGGCTCCTGGCTAGCTCAGTCCTGGCCACTGTGGCCATCCAGGGAGTGAAGCCAAGGATGGAAGATCAATCACTCTCTGTCTCTCCCTCTCTCTCTGCAACTTTGACTTTCAGATAAATAAATATATCACATTTACCAAAAATAAATGTAGAGTTCCTCTGTCCTGGTTGAAGTCATAATAGACAAGGAATATTACGAAGGTAGTAAGCTCAATGACAGAGATATTGAGACCTAGAAACCTAGACAGATAATCCTGTATTGTATCATGTGTTCAGCATACACAGAGAAAACTGAGCTGAAAAAATGTTGCAATAATGTCATAAACGAAAAGATGTGTTACTTCAGTCTTGGAAGAGGTAGAGTGAGCAGCAAAGAAGTTTGGACAATAAATCATGTCTCAGATCTGGAATAGCTCATATGAACAATAAAGATATGCATTAAATGATCATAAGAAGAAAAATGGCAGGCTCAAAGGTTGTTCAATATGCAATATCAGTACATTAATAAAAGGGCTAACATAATATCTGATAACTCAGGTGAGGTTGACTTCTTGCTGTGGTGAGCCATTACAAGCTTTTATGTTGACAAATTATTTCTGGCCAAGCCTGTACCTAAAAGATCACCAAGTTTGGACAGCATAAATTGTAGGAATTTAGAGAGATAAATTTGGAGGTTGTTGCAAATATAATAATGCATGTAAGTATTGGTTCTAAGAAATGGTCATAGGAAGGGAAAACACTGGTGATAAAGATAATTTGATGGTAATAAAAAGTGTCATAACCATAGCCACAACAATGCTAGCATTTACTATTTTCCATTGTGGGATATTGTAGGCTGATAAATATAGTCCCTCAAAAGATAGCTATGTTTCAAGCTCTGGAAATCCTGAACGTTAGTATACTGGGCAATTTTGTAAAATGAATGATCCTCACTTGGAGAAATTATAGTGGATTATCTGGATGGGTCCTAAAGGCAGCTGCAAATATCCCCCTACAAGGGAGGGAGTAGATTAGATAAAAAGTAACATTAAGACGGATGCATTAGTTAGACTGCCAAAGACAGGATTCAGAAGTCCTGCTGACCATCAGGACCTGGAAGAAGGTAGGCATGGATTCTCCTTCAGAGGCTCTTAGAAAAGTAGTTATCCTTCTGGTACATGGAAATCATGCTATAGCAAGCTGGGGAATAATGCCTTCATTTTTCCTCAAGGTATCTTACATTTCACATACCATGAAGATTTAAACTCTAGAATCTTGTCAAGTTAACAGCTTTATTCGAAATGACAATGAAGTCATTTCCATTCCAGAGGGCCAAATGCCATCAGCCTGGACTAGACATCTAATACAAGCTGGTTGGAAGCCAAGAAGACTGTAGCTCTAAACATTAAAACAAAAAGCCAGAGCACTGACTGACGGTTATCAGTGATTTTGAATCCAAAAAAACTATGATGATGGGTAACTATCAAAGCATATTGAAGATGAACAAATTTGTTGCTCATAAAAATCAGAGATACAAAGACCCTGGAGAACTCTGACTTCTGAGGGAACATGGGTAAAAGCTCAGGCTCTCCTCCATTTTATCCCCAAGAAGTAGTTTTTTCCTTTCTCCTCATGTAAAGAGGGGAGCACCTATCTTTCTGTTCTATATGGCTAACATTTTTACTTTTCTCTGTTCTTCTCAATGTATTGGTCATGGTGTAAGAGAATTTTTCATTTGCTTATTATTATTTGTTTTAGGAGTGACAGCTAGAGAAAAGGGGGATCACAAGATTATTGTATAATAAAGGACTAATCTTCCTATAGTCTAGAAAACCTCATATACACTAAAGATAAACATTAAATACCCAGCACTTACACTGTAAGCATTTTTCAAAGTCTAGGAGGATACTTCAAACATTACCAAAAATGAAACTGTATGTTACAAAAAGTTTCGGAAACTCATGCCACATTTTCTATTTTTTTTAAAAATTCGAGGTACCAAAATCGATTTATCTTCTAATTTCCATTTTTTCTAAAGATATATTTGATAACTGAGATTTCAAGATTTCGATTTCATTAGAATCATATTAAGATGAAAGTCCTTTAATTTTTAAATTTTATTTATTTCTACTGGAAAGTGATATTTACAGAGAGAAAGAGATCTGAAGCCAGGAAACAGGAGCTTCTTCCGGGTCTCCCACTTGGGTGCAGGGTCCCAAGGCTTTGGGCCGTCCTCGACTGCTGCAGAACACCAATCAGCACCCTTATAGGATCCCCATGCATGCAAGTTGAGAACTTATGCCACTAGGCTATCATGTCAGAACCAAGATGAAGATATTTTAATAAGATTTTGGGGAAAAAATGCATTAAAGGATAATATACAGTTTAGTAAACACTTTGAAGATCTCCAAATAAGGTAATCAGTCTGGTAAGGACCAGATTGATGACTGAATTTACACAGGAAGATGGACTCTAGCAGGATTCCAAATTTATGAGTTGAGCTCTTCTATATGTCAATTCCTTTTACAAAAGAGTGTACAGGAATTCAAGATATTTTAATCAGTTAAGACAAAATATTCAATTACCAGTTTATTAATTTGGGTGTACAATAAAAACTTTTTTTTCCCAAAAAGTTTCAACAAGTGAAATCATCACAGAATTAGATCTATGGGCAGTAAGGATATCAAATTCCCAGTCATTGGCATGCAACTGAAACCTTGATTTGGATGAATTTCCTAAGAATTCTCTCATTAAGCCCTAAGACAATCATCCTGCTGATAGTGCTCTGCAAACATGGTGCATATTCCTAAAGTGCACAGGCTCTTCTGCAAGAAGTGTGGCAAGCACCAGCCCCACAAAGTAACACAGTGTAAGAAGGGCAAAGACTCCCTCTATGCCCAGGGGCCCAGCATCATGGCAGGAAGCAGAGCGGCTTTGGCGGGCAGACAAAGCTGATTTTCTGGAAAAAGACTAAAACTACAAAGCAGATTGTGTTTAGGCTTGAGTGTGTACAACCCAGCTGCAGATCCAGGAGGATGCTGGCTCTGAAAAGATATAAACACTCTGAACCAGGAGGAGAGAAGATGAGACAGGGCCAAGTAATCCAGTTCTAATATTCATCCTCTGCTTTGTTACGAAGACAGTAAAACCTTAAGGTTGTTGTTCACTTCATTTTTTTGGTGGGGGGAGGGAATAAATTAGAGCCATCAATAAAACTCTTCTTGTGTGAAACAAAATAAAAATAAAAAGAAGGGAACTAAGTACACGGCCTGCCAGTCTTCCCTCCAGCTCCACTCTGACAGCCCCTCCCTCCCAGATTCTAGAGTTGCCAGACCTTCACAATAACATGAGCCAATAAAGAGTACATGTTTTCTGTGGTTCCTCTAGGTCTGTGTCAGATTTTACTTAAAGGAGCTAAAATCAAGGAGGAAAAGGACAGTCATAGTCAGTATTAATCATGGTTAATGCAAATCGGAGAACACTAGCCTTGCAAGTGATAAATTTTACTAAGAATTTTTTTATAATTCAAAAGTAACTTTCAATTATCCAACACTTCTCTGCCTCTGTGGAACAACTGTTATTATTACTCATTCAGTATTCTTATTCTTATTCATTATTATGACAGAATTATATAAAAACAGGTTAAAACAAAAGGTTTTCTGCATAATAGCTGTCACAGAAAGCAGTCAAAAGTCAATGAAGGTGGGATTATAAAGCACTGGTAGGCTAGAAGCAGTTAATCAGTCCAAGGATTCTTACATAGCACACACCAAGCACTCCTGGGCACATGAATTCTCGACAGTCAAGACCAACAGGAAGCCAGATCTACTGTGTTCCTGCAAGTACACAGTTAGCCAAATAAAGAAGCCTGGCCAACAGATATTGATGGGATCGCTGGAAAGCAACCTATAAAAACTACAGAGTAAGAATTGAGCAAAGTGTTGGGAGAGTAACTTCTTCAGTACCAGCATTCTCCAATAACACACAGTTATTTGTGGAATCACTAAGCATTCATAGGTTAATGTCCGCATACATGGAGGATGGTTTCAAACAAAGCGTTCTAGTACTTTCATGGGTTAACTTATTTTTACTTGGAAGTGTTATGAATGCCTAGGAATATATGCATTCAAAAGATCCTTCCCCATCTCTCTTCCCAACATGTCCATCTTCATTTGTGGCGCGTTCTCAACCTGCATCCCAGAAATAACGCAAGCTTTCTTCCTCCTCGTATTTCATGTCCAATCAAAGGCCAGGTAGTATTATTCCCAAACTCTTGATATACTGCTTGTATCCGTACACTTACGGCAGCAAACACCACTTGAGTCTGTTCACTTCATTCCTTCCTTCAGTATTTCAGTTCATCAGCTTACACTTGAATAGACAACAGGTATCTTAGCAGTACTGTTTTATCTCTATTATACTCATAAACATTACTTACATTAGTATTTCCCATTTCCCAGGTGTACCAATGAAACCATCTCTCTCCTCTATAAACAAAGTTAATATCAACAAGAGGAATCTTCTAATGTGCATTATGTATGGAGTACTATTTAAACTCTTCAGTCTTTTTACACTTCTGTAGCTACATTTTTGGTTTGATCTGTCCTGCCATTTTTGCCCATATTTTGGCCAGTCACATGGGCTTCTTCTTGTCCCATACTTGCCAGCTTCCCCTTTTCCAGGGGCCTCTTATGATAATCAGTGCCTCTCACACTTGAATGTGCATCGGAACCCCCAGAGGACTTAAAACACAGATTGTTGAGCCCCAGGTTCAGGAATTCTGATTCTGTTGTTATGGTATGGGCCGAAAAAATTTATTTTCAAACATTTGTTTCAGGGGCTGCTGATGCTATTGGCTTGAAATCACATTTTCTGAATCCCTGAGTGAATAATTTCCTTTCACCTCTACTTTTATAATAAAATCATTGCTTCTGAGTTAATACATACAATTGACTCTTATTTCAGCATCATGCTTCCAGTATAAAATCAGGAAGGACTTGCTCTTTTTTCTGACTACCTATAATGTCATATCTCTGTTTTATAACAACTAGGATAATTCACCTATCACAGAATCATGTGATAAATTTACTTTTCTCTATATACTGTATGCTCATTGACACCGATGTCCATGTCTAAACTTTTGAATTAGTTCAGTAGCACAAACTAGAGTGTTTTACATATATGAAACAGAAAATAAATGTTTATATCTATTCTGTAAACATACCTTAAAATGTCTGTCTGTCGTGACTGAAATTGTCTGCTGCATCAATACATGTGAAATTGTGGCTCTACTGCAAATCCTCTCCTGCACACAAATTGCAAAGTAATCCAGGACTGTCTGTTGGCCAAAGCGTGGCTTTACCATTACACGTGCCAGTACTTTGCCAGTAAGTCTAGGACTACTGCTGTGCTTCCATCTGCTGGAACCAAGGACAGTATTTTGGGATGGAATACTGGGACAAAATATTTAGTCACTTGTCTTACAAAATATTTAAGCACTTACATTCTTAAGAAAAAAATAAAAAGAGGACCATTTGGTGTTTAAAACTGTGCTATTTCACTATGTTTTCCTTTTTCCTTCAGAGACAGCATATGCTTCAGACCACAGCGATCTTGAAGAAAAAGCCTTTATGGTTTCCCAGGAAATGCAGAGTGAGGTGGCAGGCGACGGGCATGTCGAAGTGTGGCATAAATGGTTGTCTCTGCCAGACAGCACACAAATATCTGACCCATCTGCCACCGCTGGCGCTGACTTAGCCTTTTGCTTTTCTTCATTTCAACTCATTTCCAACAATATTGGAAGTACGTTTAACCATCATGTATTGCCTTCTGCTGTCTTTAGGGAACTGGCATAGTATCCTAGACAAGAATCATCTGAAAATAATATGTCCTGTGTTCAAAAATTGCTATGGCCTCTACTTACCTGGTCAAATATTTCACCTTGTTAGGTCTTGCTGGGGAATACTTCCTTTCATTAGTTTTCACTTTTTTTTATCAATCAAAGAGTAAGAAAGAATTTGTTCTATCTCTGTCACTTCACAAAATCACTCCTGTCTTGACAAAAGTAACCTCCACAATTTCTTAGCATAGCAAATCAACATCCTAAAAGGGTTATGCAGCCTCTGAAAACTAGTTTTTGAGTCAAGAAAAATACTATAATCACTGTATTCATTGCCACTGTAAAGTTACTTTATAAACTTTTCCTTCTATTATTCAACCACTTCTATATATCAGCATGATATGGCTTCAAAGCACTTAAGTAGGACTCACAAGTGCCAGTCAATTGGCTCACTAATTACACATCTAGAACAGTCTACACCTCTTTGATCTTAAACATTATTTCCATTGTCAGTATTCCATTATCAGGCTACAGGAACATTAGTGAAAAGTAATTGAATACCACTTTGAACTTGGAACAAAATTCAGTGGGTTATTTCAACTGTAATGTCAATATGAAAGAGATTAATTGATATGAAGAGATGAAATGAGATGGAAAAAATACAAACTCTGAACATATATGTTTGTATTTTAAGAGAGCAATGCTATTCTATCAGTTTCAACTTCTAATTAAGTTTTTCATACATATCGGGCCAAAAGTTGCTTCCCTCTCCTCCCCAATTTCAAATCAATATCTACTCTCTGGAAATACTGGAATCTTTGCAAGCAAGGGGTGTATCATGGTTATACATTCCATGAGAAGAAGAGTCGCTTATTACTGATTCTATAGTTAGGAGATATATGTTAAATATACACTGCCTCAGAGTTTTTCTTTTTGTTTTTGGAAACTTGAAATCTACAAGCTCTCAGTGATTAAAATTCACCTCAGTTTTAGGTTTCTGGTCAGGATGCATGAACTTTGTGTTTTGGTATCCAAATAAAAAACTAAAAAGTGAATAAAGTGCATCTATCACAAGGGTACTTACAACACTGAGTAGCAGTCAATGAAAGAGTGCTCTTTGAGAGATGCATGCTAAGATTATTCAGGCACTGTGTTTGGATTGATTTTACAGCCCACAGTTCACTCAATAAACAGGGAATCAAAGAAGATGGACAGTTACTCTATGTTGAGCAGACAAAGCTGGGGAAGACAGCCTGAATGCGTAAGGCAACACAGAGATGACAGAGCCACACAGAATATAGAGAACTGTCAAGTCTCCCTGTGAAGATAGAAAACTGATCAGCACAAGAATGTGAAAAGCTATCCACAGTCAGGTAAAGAACTATCCAGGTACTACAGGGAATAGAGCCTTTCACTTGAGCCAGATTTTCACATACCTGGAGAGTTTGTTTCCAAAAGTCAGAGTACAAATCTTCATAATGCAGGAGGTATCAGAATGTAGCACAGTTCAGGTGCCAGCCCACAAATGAAAAAGAGTAAGACCTGTGAGGTGTATTCCCAGTAACTTTGTAGCATTTCAGAACAAAGCTCAAGAATATTTAGGACAACATAATCAGGTTCTAAACATGTAAAAATCAGCATTGGATATCTGAGAGGCACACAAGAAAGAAAAAAACTACATCCAATACTCCCAAACCAAACCAGAAATGATAAAAATGCCATTAGCAAAGTCATTAAAAATATTATGATTGCCTAATTAAAACAACTTAGAAAATATAAGACACTAATTGAACTTCTAGAAATAAGGAAAATACCTTAGGTTGAAGAATATTTTGGATGGAATTAAAACTAAATTGAAACTGCGAATGAAGAGCTGGATGAACTTGAAATTGTAGAAACTACCAAAACTAAAGCAAAAAATGCAAGAACTCATGAACTGATGGACAAAGGAAAACCAAATGCATGAGCAACTGGAATCCCTGAAGAAAACAGAACAAAGGGAGTAACACAAATAATTACACAGCCAACTAATCTTTGACAGGAGAACTGTAAAATAATGCAAGGAATAAGTTTGGTCTTTTCAACAGATGCTGCTGGCACAATCGGATACCACCATCCTGAAATAAGAAGCAAGACCTTCCACTTGGCACCCTATACAAAAATCTGGTATAAATGAATGAAGGACCTAAATTTGTGCCCAGAAACCAACAAGCTATTAGGGGAAAACAAAAGAAGCACTCTACAAGATACAGCCATTGTTGCACAATTTTAAGGACAGTCACCAAGAGCACAGGCAGTCAAAGCAAAAATAAACAAATAGGACTACATCAAACTAAAAAGCTTTTGTAGAGCAAAAGAAATGATCAACACAGCAAAGAAGCAACTAACAGGAGATCTTCGCACGCTACACAACAGACAGGGGACTAATATGGGATTTACAACAGTCATGTTAAGAAATGTGCAAAGAAAATGAGTGGATATTTTTCAAAAGAAAAATTCAAATGGATAATAGACATATGAACAAATGCTCAAGCTCCCTAACTATCAGGAAACTACAAATAGAAACCACATTGAGGTCTACCTAACTACAGTGAGATTGGCCTACACTCAGAAATCCACTACTAACACCTGCTGGCATGGATGTGGGAAGAAAGGTACTCTATTCCACTATTGGTGGGAGTGTAGGCTAGTACAACCACTATGGAAGTCAGTATGGAGAGTGTTAAGACAACTGAAAATTGATTTAACAATAGTCTATTTCTAAAGATATATCCAAAGGAAATGAAATTTGCATATGGGCCCGCTCAGTGGTTTAGTGGCTAATGTCCACGCCTAACATGCACCAGGATCCCATGTAGCAACTGGTTTGTGTCACTATGGCCCCGAGGACAGCCCAAATCCTTGAAACCCTGCACCTGCATGGGAGATGCAGAAGAGCTCCAGGCTCCTGGCTTCAGATTGGTGCAGCACTGGCTGTTGCGGTCACTTAGCAAATGAATCATCGGATGGAAGATCTTTCTCTCTGCCTTTCCTCTCTCTATATATCTGACTTTGCAATAAAAATAAATAAATATTGAAAAAAGAAAGCTGCATATAAGAAAGTGACCTGCAACCATGTATTTATAGTAGCACAATTCACAATAGCAAAGACATGGAAACAACCCAGATATCCATTGAAAGAGAAATGGATGGAGAAGTGATGGCATATCTACTCCATGGAATACTACTCAGTCATTAAGAAGAATGAAATTCTACCATTTGCAACCAAATGGTCCCAACTGGAAACCATTATATTCAGTGAAATAAGCCAATACCCAAAAGATAAATATATGTCCTCTTTGATATAAGGCAACCTTCGTGCAAAATACCAGATAGAGATATAGGTAAATATGTACATACATATATTCTCATAGATGAACTGTATATAGGAACTAGCATACTGAGAAGTGAAGATACATTGCAGTATACATCTTTGCTTCAAAAGGAACTGATAAATGTACTTTGACAATAAGGTACTATATTTTTTCCATTGCCTATACAAGTATTACATTGGTGCACTTATACTGATACACTTAAAGAATGTTGGACCTGTGACTGATGCTGAATAACTATACTATTATAATAATACGGAGGATAGCAATGGTGGGGGAGACGGCAGAGGGAGAAAGGGGAAGTGGACAGGGGGATCCCTATATGTATGAAATCATATCATGGAAAATAATACATAACACACACAATGGCTCCTAATTTTCCAAATTTGAGAAAATCTGTAACCTTATTGATCTTAAAATCACTATGAGCTTCCAGCAAAAAGTAAGCAAATACACTTTCCAATAGTATTTTCATAATTAAACTGAGCAAAAAAGAAGCGTGTGTGTGTGGGTGGGGGGGTTAGGAAATCATGTCAAGAGCCAGAGGGGAGGATAAGAGCACATTTCTTTACGGTAATATTGCAAGTGAGCACTGCATATTTAAGATCTGAATGAAAAAAAGAGTATTAAAAATTCATTGTACAGAAAAATCCTTTCCAATGCAAAAGTGAAATAAAAACTTCAAGAAACCAAGGATATAAAACTAGTAGACCAACACTAAAAACGATTTGGAAGGAAATCCTTCAAGTAGATAGAATCTGACACTGCAGAGTCATATACAATACAGGATTAATTACAAATATACTAATCTGGTTTCCACTTTCCCACTTTGCTTAGTTGATCTTGCTCACTGACTCTTTTCCTGCAGAAAAATAACAGCAAGAGGGTCTCTCCCTGTTGTTCTTAACATGATTTATTTAATTTTATTGGAAAGACAGATTCGCAGAGAAAAGGATAGACAGAGAGAAAGATCTTCCATCCATGGGTTCACTCCCCAAGTAACTACACTGTTGGAGCTGAGGTGATCTGAAGCCAGGAGCCTCCTCCAGCTCTCTCAATGGGTGCAGGGTCCCAAGGCTTTGGGCTGTCCTCGACTGCTTTCCCAGACCACAAACTAGTGTCCGTATGGGATCTCCGCGCTTGAAAAGTGAGGACTTAGCCACTGGGCCATCATATTCGGTCCTGCTCTCCCTTAATTCACCCTAGGTGGAATAAATCCATTTTTTATCTTCATTTTGGTTAAGGTTATTATACTTCATGGTCTGAATTAATTATTGTGTTATTTTTCATCTCTCAAGTCCTTTTGTGTCATATATCTGCTTCTCTGGGTGTCTTGCACCCCAACTCTGACTATAAATTCTGTCAGATGATTAGTCTTTGTCTCAAATGTCCTGGAATACCCTCCTGACATATTTATCTAAATAATAGTTATTATATAAATGGCCCCTAAAGATAACAAAGTATTGAAGATTTGGTGGATTTAGAGATCTGAGCATGTATAATTTTATTTTTTAAGAGCATGAATTCTGTTTTACAACTTGTTTATGAATGATTTAAACTTAAATTCATTTTTGAATTGGTGTTAATCAGTATGGAACAATATGCAAATATTTTCATACATAATAAGCCTGATTCTAGTTTGAGTCATAGAAAGATTTCATAACTGGGTACACTATATAATTATTGTATGTTTATAACTACTAACAAAAATTATTTCATCTTTTTTCATCTTTCTTGGACTTTATATCTGCGGTAACTAGAGTCCCAGAAAAAGAATGTCATGCTTTTATCCCCTTAATTAATGTTGTTCAATGCCTTTTCATTCCCAGGTGAGAACAAAGAGAGTAATGGATGCTACACATAAATGAGAAACAGTATTAAATATTAATTCTTACCACATTTTTGTCCTCAGTAGAGAAGACGGATTTTTGCTAAGGTATTCCTTTTAGTGACCTCCTTGTAAATTGATTCTAACATACCTAAAACTTAAAAAGCCATTGTGAATAATATCTTTAGTTATAGAGCACTGCAGACTCCAGGGATAACCTCAAGCAAAATGAAAATGATAGTTCCAAAATATCGAAGATAGACAGTTTTCTTTTCAAAATATGAAAATGAGTTTTATCACCTAAGAGCTGCTTTGCTTCTAATCTGTAATGGATGGTAGGTTGGGAATTTGGATTCTGATTTTAAACAAGTCTGGGGTCAAACTTATTCCTGCCATTTCCCATTACCATGTGCACCCCTGTGCAAGTCTCTCCATTTTTCTGAGCCTTAGGGTGAAATCTAAATGGTTACGTCACACAGTTACTACCTAATAATTGTCCAATACAATGTAGATTTTAAAAAATGCCCAAGAGAAAAAGGATGTTTAAAGTTCACATTGACGAATATACTTGGTTCAGTGTATCATTGTTTAAAACAGCTCCCTCAAAGAAAATTTCCATGAAATAATCAATTAAAAAAAATACATTTCAAGGAGTGGATGCTGAAGCCAGCGGTTAAGACATCTGGGTGGTACATTAGAGTGCCTGAATTTTATTCTCAGCTTCTGATTCTAGCTTTCTATCAATATAGTTCTGGAGGCAGCAGCCATGTCCAAGGTATCCGTGCTGGGCCCACCTTCTGTCTTTCATACATTCTCCCTCAGATTAAAAAAAATCCAGAAATGTTTGGAGAATATTAATAAGCCTTGGGATCCTACACCCATGTGGGAGACCTGGAAGAGGTTCTGGGCTCCTGGCTTCGGATCAGCTCAGCTCCAACAGCTGTAGCCACTTGGGGAGTACTCAACAGATGGAAGATCTTCTTCTCTGTCTTTCCTCCTCTCTGTATATATGACTTTCCAATAAAAATAAAGTACATCTTAAAAAAACATTAATCACCATATCATTATTTTACCTCCATGCTACCAAAATATTCTGGTTAACATTTTTTAAAACTAAATTGAGTAAATACTTTGGCATTACATAAACAAATACTTGAAATAACTGCTTCAGCAAAGTCATCTGAGATTTTAAAAGATTTGTAAAATACATAATGAAAGAGTTTCTGGGGAAAAAAAGGCAGTGTGTTTTTTAAAAGGAGCAAGCACATTTTAATATTTCCTTTGCTTTCGTGCTTGGCTAATACCCAGTGGTAAGGTGATTCAGAACCTGAATACAATAAAAGGAGATGGTGTCTTTAAATAACTCATAGAAGAACATGGTAGCCAGAGAATATTATGCTATTACAGTCAATTTCACTGACAGCTCAGGACTGTGGGGGTTACTGAACTGGAGAGCAGATACACAATAACCACTGGCCAGAGTAATTAGCTGGGGTAATGAAGAGAGAGGAAAAGTGTGTTGGACACGGAAGCCCTGAACTGTCAGCATTATTGTTCTCCAAGGCTTTGGAAGAACAATGCTCTGCTGAGCCTTCAGTAATCGCTATACATGACTACTCAAGAAGAGAGTAATTAGGAAATGTCAGTGCTTCTCTAGGAAGGAAAAAAACAGCACTCATCATGCCACACACAGAGTTACTCTGGAAGAATACATTTTTTGTTGTTGTTGATCTAAAATATTAACAGAGCAGAATGTGTTCTTCATGTAGTTCAAAAGAGTGAGCTATGAATAATTAAATAAACCCAACAATGTGATTCCCTACCCAGGCATTCCATTTTCACATACCGACAGGTGCTACTGACATCATCAGTTGAAGAATCAAACTCTGCAGCAAACACTGCATTCAAGGCGTCTCACACACTGGGCTTCTAAGTTACTCTATGTCACATCACCTTATTTTATTTTTATGATAATATTTATTGATGTTGGGCATAATATGCATTTAGCACTTCATTAAGTTTTAAGTCCCAAGAAGGTGGAGATACCATCCTTCTTATTCACTCTGTTATTGTCAGTGCTTAAAAGACTGTCTGGTAGTAGCAAATTCTGGTAGTAGTCAAGAGTGTTTCTCACAACCATTCAAGAACAATGCTATGCATAGGTCTAGTATTATATTTAGCCTTACAAGGTTAAGGCTTACAAGATTAAGTTCTCAACTAAAAGCAGCCAACTTTTATTTACAAATTCAGTTAATATACACTGTAATGTGTCTTTGCTTTTTAAAAAAATCTATTTTCTTATTTAAGCAGATGAGGT